ACCACTTGTCCACAACACGCTGTGATGGAGGCGACGAACGCGAAGTGATACATTTTTATTACATGCCATTATACACTCCGAACTGACACGTTATAATGACTCCCACGTTGGGAGTGTTGGGACACAAACACGATATCTCGGTCTGATACTTATTACTTACTCAGTTGTTCGAAATCTGGAGTCGGGCTCGATGCCGGCCGATGGCAGAATGTATAGAGTACTTAGTGAGATTAGCAAATTTATGCTTCTACTATCCAACTAATTTAAACTCCTGCTCACAACATATAGCAGATATATCATTCTCCACCTCCACACTAACTTCACTGTAGATATAGCTGATGATAACTTGCAAATAAATCCGAGGATGACACAATGAAGATCGCCATCATTGATAACAGTTTGAAAAAACTGGTTTAGTTTCATATAAAGAGCCACTAATCAGATTTAGCTTTACAGTTGAGTGAATAGGCCACAAATCAATACAGGATAATGAAACGTAAAAAGCCCTGCTGTTAGCTGTTCCAACAATATTGTTATTTTACGAGTTAAAACCGAACATAAAACTGACTTATCGTGGAAACTTGAGTAATCCCGTTCTGGTGACATAAAAGAAAATAAACCATCGTTGACGTCGTTCTATTTGTGTGTTGTGGTGCGAGTGCGACTAATTCACGGTCCGCCTGCACCGGGGAGGAAGTGGCCACGCCGCCTATAGGTAGCTGCTCGACAAAAATATCAATATTTGAGCTCCTCGGGCTGCCTGCGCTCCCAATACCTCACCTATGAAGTGAATGGAAGGAGTACATAAAAAAAGAGTTAGTCACTTTCGTCTACTCTTCTATGTTGACAGGTGAGCTAATCGTCATACGTGTTTCATTTGTCTGGAGAAACCACCGCGATGGTTATTGCACTTATTACTGAACAAGCACCGCTGACTAAACGAATCATCTCCGTAACTAAACCTCATAACTAGTAGTCAGAATTTATGAATCGTAGTGTCTGGCGGTAATGTCCTCGTTACACTGGTTCACCGTGCTATTATCTTCCATAAAGAGCACTACAGATGATAAGTTTCATAATAATATTCGTAATACTGTACTGATGTAATCTATTATGTACACATACAGAGTTATATTCCGTCAAAATGTAACGAGAGCAAAGGTCCCCAGCAACACTTGGGAAAGTGAGATAGACTGATAACCACAAGTTACCAGAATTACGGTATTATGTGGAAATGCAAGAATTACTAAAAACATGTGAGTGTGTCTATTCCAGTCGGGGCTGTAGGCTGATGTGTCCACACAGCGGTGCGCGCTTGTGTGGAGCTACGTGACCAGCGACCGGTCCCTGAGGTACTCCTTGTTGTTGTTACTGAAGCACTGACTGCTCCGTGTAGCGACCGTCCCTTGGCCACGCACTGACACCTGTACTATAATCATACTTGCCTCGCACACGTAACCCTCTCCTAGGCCTGTATTATTATTATATACCTACAACAGAACATTAGTGGAATAGTATATATCAACACATCAGCAGTATTCTAGAATAGCGAATCTGTTGTGCCACATTGCGATCACAGACCAGTTAGTGTAAGTGTGCAGTGCGCAGTGCGTCCTCCAAACCAGTAAATGTCGTATCTACTCGGCTACTTGCTCACTGCTCACTGCATAACACCAGAATTAATTATTGCGCAACGAGAAAGCCTAATTAATTAGTCATATGTTCGCTTAAAAAGTTAATATAGCGTCGGTGCCGTATCGCAAAACAGCGAAAGTGAACAAATATGTACGAATGTTAGCGATGGGCAGGTACGAGGGGAGTCATCGTACCATCGAATTAACATTACGGCCGCTGTTATAGCAGTTTAATGTTTTGGAAAACTTTCCTTCTTTTATAAGTAAAACACAAAGTAAGTTGCGGTACAGTCTACCTCCGCCGCTCGAGTACTCCGACAGTTTTATTATTAAATCAATGTCGGCAGACTGCGCACAGGTACTCACTACCTACTCGAGTGAAAAAGAAACTGTAAAAGGCACATCGCGCGAAGTTCAACGGAACTTTTCCCATAAACCACTCGAATCTGGAAACAAAAACTGCAATAAAGGTAAAAGTGAGCAGAATCGTTTTATTGTAGCCGAATGTAGCCGTTAAACTTTTCTAATCCACTTGCCACATGAGGTGTAAACCATTTCATGTTTGAATTTATGAATACATTAGACACAGTAGCCACTGTTACAATTTGCATGCTGGTGGTGTTTGTTCTCGGGCGCTCCAGTGACGAGAGCAAATAGATGATACACTGAGCACACGGTTACACAACGAGCTGGCGCAACATGGTGAGCTGTTTGCTAGTCGCAGTCACACTGCCGAATATAGCAATGCAAGTAGTGCAACACAGACGACACCGCCCCGACAGTTAGCAACACTCGGACATAGAGAGCAGTTGGCACTGCAACGCTTTGTTACTGTTCTGCAGGGCTTCGACGACAAAAGATAAGTATAGGAGGCAGCATCGACATGATTCTTAATTTTATCACAATCTAGATATTTGGCAATTATAACAAATAAAATAGATAATACTGTATTGGCAACAAATAATTGAATAAAACTCAGTAAAAAACATTACAACAGCATTGTTTGCTCTTACGCAACTAATGACACATCGCGATTTTGCGAAGCTAATCGATAAAAAAGTTGCACGTGCAATGTGATCCGAGGTCTTCTATTCACAATATTCACGGATCATCCTCTATTCATATTTAATTGATCGTTTTGTAACGCTAGCGTAGGTTTGTATGAATATTTCTATGAAAAACTGAATTTGATGATGTTAGATGAAGGAATTATCGCTTTTGTAGAATTAACCCCAACCAAATAAACATTAACTATAAATATGTAAAGAAAACATGAAGCAAGCCTGAAAGAAACTCATCGTATCAGATGCACGGATGAGGGAATCAGAGGTATGAAAATATCGATTATGCGCTACCAATCGATGCAACAACTGGGTTACTGTAAGACGTGAGTAATTCTAATAACCTTTCGACACGTGCACAGTCAATGCAATTAATTTATTGAACATTGCGATGCACTAAGAACCTATACCTACTATACCTACGACCTACAAGTCTATCTGTATGTTAAAAAGTAATTTTAAAACCTCGTATGACAATGGTCGAACTGTGTCTCTGGCCATCCAGACTGCTATTAGCGAAATAACCTATTGTCGAGATATCATCACTCAGTTGCTGTTACATATTGGCACAGAGCACTTAACTGTCACTCGATGCTGCGAAGATAACATACCTAGGGGCTAGGCACTAGACAGTGTTAACCAATGCAAAAGAGTTAAATTCCTGACATTTCTGCCCTCCTAGTGTAACGTACGGTCGCTGATTAACATATAAAGGACGTCGGTGCTTTGTCTCGCACAGACAGACGGAGCGCCACTCATTCACAACATTCTAAGAGAACTTAGTTGCAATTCATACTTTATCATTATTCGTTTTAATTATATTGAAGAAAGACTGCGCATGCATGTAAATTCAGACATGAAACTGAATGGGCTTTCAGTCCTCTTTTAGTTTAAAACACTGAATTGCTTTTTGGAATCTCACAAGATGTGCACTGCGATAGTAAGCGACAGCCAGTGATAATTGATTTGATGAGTGCAACATCTAGTTAGTCAATTCTCATGATGGCACATTTGTGAGTTATTCAGAACGCTACGTTTATAAAGTCAGTACAAATTACTATACGTTTTTAAGACTAGAATTCGTTTCAACTTGAACCCTGAAGACCGTGTAATATTTAATGTATTCAAAGCTTTCAAGCGAAATCCTTATTTGGATAAAGCTTTAGGCAAGGCGTCTGTATTTGGCAATAAAATATCTGCCGAATTCGATCGCTGGATCGCGGCTCACACACAACCTTGCCAAAACTACTTTTAAATGTGATATTTGCTTACCAATTATATCTAGTCCACAAATGGCAGCTAGCTCGCAGTTATTTATTACTACAACACTTTTACAAGCTGCCGACAGTTTTACATCTCACGTCGTACTTCATTTGGAGCTGCTGAGGTTGTCAAATAAACAAAATTAGCATAAAACAAGCGGTCGATGATTGAGTACATGTTTTTGATATGGGCACGAGCGGGTCGTGTTAGGGATAAGATAGGATCAATGAGCACAACTCAGGCCTGCTCCACGAGTACGCAGTAAGCTCACGGCTCATGATTAACGAGTCTCCGAGTGTCACCGGTCATGCGACAGTTATCCACTTGAAGAGTGCGGTCGCGGTCGTTGTCTAATCTTGTAGGCAGTTGTAGATAACGTGGTCGCCGGTCAGACCTGTCCCTTTATTGTCCCTCCCACGCGGCCATCACTCAGCTTGTTCCTGCAGCCCACCACGGAGGATGTTCATGGAACACATTAAAGTGACATTGTAAAGACATTACTTTGTAAACTAGACAGGTCGTCTAGTTTTCGAATCAATATCTTAGAGGTATATGTACAAACATAGCTCTGGGATGGGAAGTTCGTAAAGTTCCTCAACATTATTTACTGTCCCTGTATCCTAGTTCCTCACGAGTGTGACAAACAGTGAAGTTGACGGATGTGTCAGCTTACAGCTCACCTACACACTGACCCAAATCCGCAGATATTGTGGGACAGGCCGATGAACCTCCACTTGTTCTTAGATAATAATCTTCCGTCTCCCTCGTACTTTACACATACATATTCAGCTGTCCTTTTCTCTTCTAAATATTTACATGGACTGTTACAGTTCTGTCTATCTTGACGTATAACAAAACAAATGAAGGCGCGAGCGATAGAAACAGATGCAGTACAGCGCACGTGCACACTGCACTACTCCACTGTTTACAACTAGCAGAAAGATATTTACGGAAGAAGATTGTGAAACATCAAATTTTAATTTTTATCATGGTGCTAATGCTTTCTGGGATACATGAACATTAATAAGGTATAATAAAAGTTTTATTCATCAAAACATGTCGTCAAAACGAAAAAGTTTGTCGTTAAAATGTGCAGAAGTGTCGCTGTTGAGTCCACTCCACACGTAACCACTTCCGCTCCTCGGTGCCGACTGGCGACTGCCGGCGAGCCAGGCACGTGTCTCAAATTTATTATGATACCACTTTTTACTACTACAGTCAAATTAATAGACTCGAGTTGAGCAACGACCGACACAGACACAGTGCAGTGCCATCGTACCACCGTCGCGTAAACATAGCAATCAAACGCTCTCCTTAGATCACCTCCTTCATATTTCGTCCAAACGAGTTCCATACTTAACACAATGAACCACATCCCGCCAGGAAACCAGGACATAACCATCGACTAGGATGTGGAGCGATATGTTTATGCCGACACTGTAACTAGGCACATTCACATACTTAACTAAGAGTTAATAAAATGTTGTCGGTTATTCCAACTACAGTCATGAAACACCGTTTTATTTATTTACACTTGCCCGCAAGCAAGGAGACAACATTGGAATTAATTAAAAATATAATTTCCTTGTAATGTTTTACAAAAGAACGTAACCATAGTGGGTGGTCATTGTAACAATCATTATAAAAAATATATATTTTCATTATTTACTCACATAATTTAGTATCGCTCATCCGCCATGACAGTTCATTGTGAGATAATAACGTTTTTATGATCGTTTATATGTATATACTAATTATCTGGAAGTGACCGTCTCCCACGGCTCGAAGGTCGTGATGTCCAATGCCACATGACAATCAGGCTGCTATGAGAGAAACCCGCAGCTTCCGAAAACTATTAGGGCCCGGAAGTGGTCGTACGCTGATCGCATTGAATAATATGCGCTATTAGGTGCGCGCGCGCACGTTACCTGTGACCTGTGTGTGAGCACAGTTCAGAATTATGTTGTCATGTGGAATTTGGCAGATAGTACGAGACATACGAGACGCGAGTGTTAGGCTGTGGCTGTGAAGCTGGCATTATCACTTCATAGAACAACTATTTATTCTTCGGTGTTCCAGGCTGTCTGAGATTCTTTTAGTTGGATTGAGTTGATGTGTCTTATGTAATTTAAATTAAAGTCACGAAGTGTCCGGCGACTGACTCCCGCCCGCCAGTGGTCTCCGTAATCGTTGTATACTCGCGCGCATTACAACGACCAGCTTCCTCCCTTCTTGTAAACATCCAGCTACTCGGATTTTTTGTGTCTATTGTAAATAATGTCCATGATATAAATGCCGCCGTAATTGGCGACTACGTGACCGGCGTGCATACGACAGGCCAATACAATAAATATAGAGTTAAACATTGCAGGAAACATCAAGTGCTTCATGTTCGACATCACTAATAGGGCTGGGATGTCGGGGGGGGGGGGGCGCGGGGGCGCGGGGGCGCGGGTGGACAACAGGTGGCGTCGGCTCAGCACGGCCGGATGATATCACATGACGTATGCCACTAATATTGTTATGTGATAAAAACTAGCCCATTGATGAGCTCACAGTCACTTGTAGCTTTGTTATTGTTTGTGTGTTGCGGTGCAATACAAATGATTATACTAGTAGTAGCTAGTAGCTCAGCGGTGGTGGCAACTACACACGAGTACTCTAAGTAACCTTAAGAGAACGCTCCTAAGCCACTGAAGTCCGAAGGTGATTGGGTGACCATTTCCGAAGCAACAACTGCAACGAAGCATCTGCTGAAACAAAGGCTTACCAAGTTACCTAACTACATATATCCTATTTACACAAATATGAAATTGACTGTTACAGATGATCTTAGCACAGGAGTGTGGACTGCACGATAGGTCACTTACTTAACTATCACAGATCTAATTAGCAACAATATAAAATTCCAGATCCTGCTTCATTACCGTAACTCACACGATGCGGTGTGGGAGTGCGTGGGTGTAGTTTTAAATGTGTATTAGTGTGCGTGCCACGTGCGCGTGCGCTACTGTCAGCTACACACCACTGTTTACATACAAAATGTGTCCAAGAGAACCTTCACCCATATCAAAGGATATGCTCTTAGATCTCACCAAAAGTTTGCAATAAGAAGAGGAAATGACCCATGGTATTTGGAACCCAATTATAAGTTGTTGTAAAAAACCAGCTCCACATACAATAGTGACCTCAGCCCGCCATAATAAATAGTAGCGAAGCTGGTATGTATGTACTTCAAACTATCAATATGTAAATCAACATATCATTACGAAGCTCAGTTTTTGCCCCGATCACTTCAACTGCTAATGGACAAAAAATCTAAACATAATTATTTTCAAGGATCTAGATTAAGATTAAGACATTAACATTCTCTAGGAATTGGCTAGCGTCTAATGTTGATTGGGCTTTAACGGTTGTTCGTTAATTGGGGACGTGTCTTACTTGAACACGAATAAGTGTCAAACAGATACCACAAAGTGTAATACTGTTATTAATTTTAAAGGAATCGTCCGCGGCATTTTATTGGAACAGGATAAAAAAATTGATAACCGACACATTATCAAATTATATTCGAACTGTTAAATAAAAAAGCTAATTACTGAAAAAAATACAACGACAGTCAAACATGTAACAACTGTATTTTGTTTTATTTTACGATCTGTTTTTTGCAGTGTGGTACCAGGCACGCAGAGCCTATGAGGAGGTGACATCCGCCGCTACAGCGGACACAGAGACTCGGAGAACAATGATGAATTGAATTTAAAAAAAAACTGTAAAGGTTAAAAGGTAGAAGTAATTTAAATATGTCGGTACCTCCTTAAGCGTTAATTAAATTTTCCTACTGCTACTACCTCTACATACTAAGGAAATTAAAACCTTGCGTAAGTAAATAAATTAATTAATTACCTTCTTAGTCTTCTCTTTCTGTACAGTCTACACAAACAAAAATGTTAAAGGAAAGTTCCGGATCTATGTTTTGCAGTTAATACAATATTTGTACTATAGCTGTGTTTGTAAAAATTATAACGAAAAACGTTTTAATTAAATAAAGAGCTTAATTACAAATTATCCTGAATGGGTAACCGACAGTTACTTTAAAGCCTGTTTGTAGCCTAGTTTTTTTAGGAGACAGATCAGGTAATGGTCCACTTTGTGGACACTATCAAACGCTACTGACATAACAATACAGCCATTACAGTAATCATACATTTGGTTTGTTCTCGTAAAAACTTTGCTTGAGGCGATGACTCCGCTGAAAGTCTCGTCGCCGGCAGTCATTGTGTAGCTAATGTTACATGTTTCTGCCTGCAATTATCGCATCAATCCGCTAATCACACGAGTGATGTTGCATTAATCAATCAATATCACTCAGCATGTCAACGCAATGTGTTGCGGCCACGTTATTAAATACATTTTTTATTTATTTCTGTCATTAATGTCATTATTAAACGCGCCACTAAATAATGACGACAGTAACAAAATTCAATTGCATTCTTTATTTTTATACTCAAGTAATAATTCTTACCAATATGAAAGTGCAAAGATTTGTCTAATATTATTAATTGGTGCGCGTTGTTATAAATAAATAACTAACGAATGTTTAGTTTGCCCGAGAAAGAAAACTCGATGAATTATGAAGTTATTTCAAGAGAAATTGATAAATTATACATGTATGAGTACATACGTACTATATCGTGCAGATTAGTTATTATTGTACAGTGCAGCGATTGTTATGTTACCATTCTCATCCTATGTCTCTATGGTAATTTTGAGTAAGTTCAGTAAATAAAAGTATGTGTTAAGTATGGACACGCAATAAACTGCTTGGAAAAGATGCGACTGCGCTGTACAAAGTGACAAATACAGGTTGGGGGCGATTAAGTACCTTTTTCCAGAAATAGATTTGATCCAGTTGATGACAGTCATTTTGAATTAAGTAAAGTACTTTACAGAGTAGTTTTTGTATAATAATTAGGAGCTCTCTTACTATGTAACTACTTAATGAGCGCTGAATTCAAAAGAGATGGATGGATAGGAAAATGCTACCAGAAGAACAGGAATTCCTGTAGTTAATTAAACAAAATAGAATAAAAAACAAAAGAGAATTCGTGATAGGTAGACAGATAGAAGCATACTTTTATCAATAATATTTAGTACGAAGCATAGAAAAAAAGAGATATTATGGTATTTATAGTATCGATCGCAAATTGTATCGACCATGACTTCATTTAGGCTTGAGATACGGTCAAGCAGAAGACAACAAATAGTGTTTCCATAAAGCTTAAGAAATGACAATTGTCGCCAGTTTAATCTGTAGCGCATTGTCTTGCGAGCTCATTGGCGACTTAGTGGTAAGAGTAAGATTGTTCCAGAAAGTCATTGACGACTCACTGGAAGGCTGAGTAAGTAGTTACCTGCCGTTTACCTGGCGCTGGCGCAAACAAAGGAGCATTTACCTAAACAATGTGATAACATTACCACAAATTGTTGTTTCGTATCTTGGTGCCATGTATAAGTGAAATTGTATTATTTCATGTATGGAAACGCAACCACGACACAGGAGGAAATCCTAGTGTGGGGCAAAATAAAATATGACAAATTACAACGGCCAACTTTACGGAGTACACAACAATCCACTAAGCAAGGTATTGCCTTCAGAAGGTGTTACCTTGCACCAGCATTACTTACATACATGGCTACACATTTCACCGCGGTACCTTACTTGTCGAACCTTCATATTATTCTATTGTGTAAATAACTATAACATAGTCGACGACAGTCTCGTCTGTACTGTCTTCATTAAGTAATGTTCGATTGTGATTTCTAAATACTTGATAATTAACCCTTAAAAAGTAATTCCTTAATCAACGCTACATTAGTGTAAGTTATCTAATGACGTAGACAAAACGTTTCGTTAGTTAATTTCACTCGTCCGAACAACTTCAAATGACTCTAATTACAATACCCGCGTGGTATTTACTCAGCCTTGCGAAAATGTTTCCCTGTGAATATTTCACCGGTCATTCAAATAAATCATTGTAAACTAGCATTTCTATATTTTTATTACACTTCTAGGTAATTATTACCCTTCGTAGTTACGTTAATAGTGAAACTGTAGTCGAGCGGACACGGCCATAACATCACTCTCAGTTTGTAGCTCTGCATAGATGTCCTGCAGCACTCGGCAATCACGTATTGTACTTTTTATTAATGAAATAATGATAACGTGCTGTGGCTTATCTGCCACACGAGCGAGGTATTCTCCCAGATTACTGAGCGCTGAGCGAGGCGCCACCGCTGTGACATAATGATCGATCACTGTATCAAGCGAATCACAATAATTAAATAACACGTTAGCTTCAGATGTATAACTTACACCTCGTTTACATTTATTATTTAATC